GCAGTTGGACTGGAGACCTGAGAGACGAGCCGGCCCATCCCGAATGCGCCACGAGCGAGTTGTCATCATCAAAAATATGTTCCATCCGATGGATTTTGAGGTAGGAGGTGATATTCCCGCTGATGGAAACGTTGATGTGCTTTCTTTCAAGGGAGCCCAAAGCTTGCCTCGCCTCGTGTTTCTCCTGTCACATCCTACACATCCACGTAGCTGGCAAGGTAGGAAAATAGAGCTAAGTAAGAGTCCACCGAAGCGTTTGGATTTTCCCGTGTTTAGCCCAGGGTTCTTGTAGTTGTTCCCCAGGGAACACTGTTAACACCCACACCGTGGCCGCAAACGGCAACTACTTGAAGAAATCATTAAAAATATAATCACTGAACGATTTCTGGGCACTGCTTGTGGATTCTGAGTGCATTTCCACAAGGATGGGCTGGTTTCGGTGGGGAGTCATTTCACACTTGCAAATGAGAACTTCACTTTGGTGCTACAGACCTGATCCTTAAAAAAAAAAACCCAGGTTCAAGAAATACAGCTCCCAATGTTTAATTGGTGACGGTAGCTTTTCGAGATCTGACTTGCACACAGTGCCTTCGTGGCTATTGGGAGGACTTTATAATACTTACTGTCCATGTTAAAAATCTAAGAACATCAAGTAAAAGTGACTAGAGGACGAAGAGCTGGAGAGGTGCGAGAGGCGTACGAGGCCTAGACCACCGCCGCAGCGCCCTGTGTTGCCTCCTGCCTCTTGTTCTTGTCGGTCTTTCCCACAGACCCATGGCAGCATTTTTGGAAGAACAAGGCTTTATTCTCTGCCTGGAATCTGAAATTAATGATCACCAGCTACACAGGAGATAGAGAAAGGCAACAAGTAACCATAAAGATAACAAGTTACATGAGAAAAAAAAATGTACTGTACAACTCCAGGTTTATAAGTGATCTAGTTGCACCTGAAGCCCCTCTTACTCCTGTGCATTGAAACAGTGAGAACAGCAGTTTCATTGTAGCCCCTTTGGAGAGGACCCCAGAGTGATCTGTGGAGCTCCGTCCCAGACAATAGTGATGTGATAGGGTTCACGGTGCACCGTGGGGTCTGTGTATCTTTTGAGGTCATTGGGGAGAGATACATGTGGTCAATTTGTAACATTTGATGTCTCTTCTGAGTAGAATTCTGAAGAATCTTAAAACACTTTTTGAAACATTCTTCCTGCCAGGTAGGGATTTGAAAGGAATACATAGCTGGATCAGGGTATCTGGCCTACTAGGTACAACTCCAGATTTCTTACAGTTCATCTCATTTTATCCCCCATGTAAATAACGGGCTTTTTAAAATTACATGACCTGTTAATGTCTATGACCTGACATCCTTGATGCACGCATTTCATACTTGTAACGCTTGAATGTGAATATTAATGCAAACTTAATTCAAATTACCTGGAACCTCGGTAAGTAGAAGCCTGTTGTGTAATTGCATATGTGTTTGTGTTTTGCCCCCTGCTTTGCTCACTGACCACCTAATTTGAATCTGGCGATCACACTGTGCAGACTTCGTTTTTCCGAGCTTAATGACTATTCTTTCCTCCAGAACGCCACATTTACTTGATTTTGACCCCTACGAATTCCCTCCCGTGGATCATTTTAAGGACAGAAGGTTCATGCTTATAAATTCTCTGTTCTTTTTTCAAACGCTCTTACTGGTTTAGTGTAAACTTTACTTTGGAGTTATAGAGGCTTTAAATTACCCTGTTTAGCCAAAGTCCTCTTAGACTTCCATTTTCTTTTATACCAGTTTGAAAAACTGTTCATAACGTTTATTATTATCCGAAATAATCGGATCTCCTCTACTAGAATGTGAGCTCCGTGAGAGCCAGGAGCTCCCTCGTTTGCTCTTATATTCCCAGTGGTTAGAATTCTGCCTGGCATACAGTAGACTCTCAATATGTATTTATTTTACAGACCCTCAATATTTATATGAAGAAAAAGTGAAAGAATGATTGAATGAGAGTCCTGTTACAAGGCAGAGTCCTTTGCTTCACTCCGCGGATAACACGTTTTCTCTTGAGCATCTTTGCAAATGAAGGAAAGTGTTCTTTTCAGAAGCTGAGAGGACAGGGATGGGCTTCAGAGCTTATGGCCGGAGAAACCCCCGGGTGCTGTCCTTGTTCGCCTGTCAGACAGAGGGATCTCGTTATGTGTTTGGGGTTTTTTTTTTAAGATTTATTTATTTACTTTAGAAGAGCGAGCGTGCGCAGGGGGGAGGGGGGGGGGGGGGGGAGGGCAGAGAGAGAGGGAGAAAGGGAAAGAACTTAGCTTTTGTTCCGGGTCTCTGTGGGCCTGAACTTCAAAATGTGTCAGTATGAATCTGTCCACCATAGTAGACTATCCAGTAGGGTAGACTGCAGCCACATGGGGTTATTTAACTGAAATGAAAGAAAACTAAAAATGGAATTCCTTAGTCGTACCAGCCCTCCGTATTGGATAATGCAGATACTCATTTGTCACCACAGCAAGTCCTGTTGGGCACCGCTGGTGTATACGCTATATGACTCGTCACCAAGGTGTGCAGCCAGAAAACGTGCTGTTGGACGTTTTGGGGGAGTGTTTGATTTGACGAAAGATTCCATGTGAATCGAAAGAATAGTCATCAGCATTGAGCTTTGTAGTGGAAAACAAAAACTGAATTGTCAGGTTCCCCGGGGTGTCAGAAAGAAACCAGATTTTGGGGGCGGGGGGTGGAATATATTTTTACTCCACAAACAGGTGACCCGTGTGAGAAGCAAAAGACCTAAAAGTACTCTTTGGTGTCAGGGTGAACAATGCGAAGGCTAATATTGTTATTGTAACTTCAGAGGGTTTTCAGTATTTAATTCAAAGCCTTCTTTAAAAAGGCATGCCTGGGGGCACCTGGCTGGCTCGGGCAGCAGAGTGTATGACTCTTGATCTCGGGGTTGTGGGTTTGAGCCCTACGTGGGGTATAGAGATTACTATTAAAAAAAAATCAATAAACTTTACAAAATAAGTAAATAAAAGTGCATGCCTGGCCAGTTTGAATACTAGGAGGTGAAGAACCAGAACTGTGTTGCAAAGGTAGGATTCTCATTCTGTCCACCAGCACTGGCCAACAGAAAGCGAATGTGAGCCACACGGGTAGTTTAAATTTTTCTGGGAGCCACAGTTAAACTAGAACACGAAATAGGGGAAATTAATTTTAATAATGAATTTTAACCCAATAGATCCAAAATAGTTCTAATTTCAGCGTGTGATATAAAAACATTAACGAGTTACGTTGTTCCCCCCCCCCCACTTTGGTACTAAATCTTCAAAATCTGGTGTTCATGTCACACTTGGAACACACCTCAATTGGGACTAGCCACATTTTAAGTGCTCAGTGGCCACATGCGGTTAGTGGCCACCGTCGTGGCCAGTGTAGGTTTAGATTGGAAAGGAGTGAGAAATACGGTTTATTTCTTTCTGGGAAAGCAGAACACCACCCCGAAAAAGAAATGAGGAGTATTGAGCAGGAGGTTTCAGTGCATCTGTCTGATTTTCATCTCAAGTCTATCGCTTGCCAAGTGTTGTGGTGAGCAATTTTCCATTCTTAGCTATGTTAAAGAGTTTTCCTAGAGGAGGGGATTGTTATCGTTAAGCTTCAGGCTACTAAACAGCAGTGAGGCTATATTAGTTTTTCAAGTTGGTATAAATGAAAACGGAAGTGTAGGAAGATTTTGGCTAAAATCTGATATGCTTGTAGGAATAACACTGAGACTTTGCTATAGAAATGAAGAGAGTGGTGCCCCCGCCCCACAGTGGAGTCACACTTAAATTTGTTAAATATTTTGAAACAATTTTGTATGTTTTTACTATAATCCTGATTTCCCTTGGTGAATAAAGTTAAGGTATTGGGAATTGTTTTTCTAACTGTGAAAAGGCTTTTTATTGGCTATTCACCATGTGGAAACACCTGTGCTGGGTTCTGTGAGGCAGACGAAACATTCAGACCAGATTCCTGCCTTCGGAAAGCACACAGTCTGATAGGAGCCGACCACACACACACGCACGCACGCACACGCGCACACACACCCCTCAAGGCCACCATGTGCCTTTTATGCTCTGGTTCCCATTCCTCTCAGGGCTGACAAATCTATATAAGACAAACAGCATCTTCTCCAAAATGAGCTTTTATAAGTGGGGGCAATCCAGCTGTACTTTTAGAAGGCTCAGATTTATAGGATATTCTTTTATTTTTAATTTGATGTCAGTAACTGCCTACCAGCTCTTTATTTTTGCTTTTTGAGAGAACTTTAGGAGGGAAAAGGCACTTTTTTTTTGTTCTTTGCAGTTCTTCTTTAGTTGGTGAGGAAAATAAAAACCCGTGAGCAAGATGAAGTTAAATGTTTCCTAAAAAGCGTAAGTCTACTTCAGTAGAAGTTCATATATAGGATGTTTTGTTTATATGTGTATGTAGTTGAAATTCAAGTTGATAATGTAACATTTGATGAGCCCCTTTCATGCACTGGGACTTGGGGAAAGATTTGTTAATCCCTACAGGTAATCTTACACCCTTTTGTTGTGGGGTGGAGAGGCCCCCCCCCCCCGCACTCAAGACCACCAGAAGCAGCAACACTTGAGTGCCCTTAATAGACTCACAGTTGCAAGAAAGCAACAGCTAAGGATGTACTTTTTTTTTTAAGATTTTATTTCTTTATTTGAGAGAGAGAGAGAGCACACAAGTGGGGATGGGGGGTGGGGTGGGGGAGGGACAGAGGGAGAGGGAGAAGCAGACTCCCTGCTGGGCAGGGAGCCCGATGCGGGGCTTCATCCCAGGACCCCGAGATCATGACCCGAGCCGAAGGCAGACGCTTCACCCACTGAGCCACCCAGGCGCCCCGAGAATGTATTTTATTGTGTGCTTCTTAGCAGCTCTTTTATTTGTGTGGTTCTGTTGCAGTGTGGTAGGAGACAAGATGAACAGGAATCCTTAAAAGGGAGGTTTACCCTGTGAGTTAAAATAGAATCTTGGAGGCACAAAGAACTATCTTAGTCAGTGAAAGGGGTATGTCGCTCCCCATTACAGCATTTCTGTAAATGGGAATCTATGCAAAACCCAAAGCAGAGGGCTCTGGTCAGTACAGTCAGGATGCCCGTGCAGAACAGAAGAATTAGCAGTGTCTGACTTCCGGTGTGCCAGAGGACCTTTCCTGCCCTTCCAGCTGCTGTGCTTTGGGATTTCCAGCCCCCCCTTCGCTGCCCCCTCCCCGCTGCCCCAGCGCGGTCCCGCTGCTGCCTGCCATGCTTAGCCATTTCCTCCAGCTGGGGTAGCAGCTGCAGCCTTGCTAGTCCAACGTCCTTTGGTTTTGACTTTTTAAAATTCTATAGACTGCAGACAAGAGTAACTACTTTTAAGTAAAACCTTTTTCTGTACGTTGGTTTGTTGTCAAAGCAAGAAATTTGATTTCTCAGGGTTTGTGTTTAAAGAAGGGGGCAGATCTGTTTTAATCGTGTGTATGTTTGCAGGATGACCCATTGGTGCTGAATGAAATCAGAGAAGACCTTCGAGTAGAGTGTTCAAAGTTTGGACAAATTAGGAAGCTCCTTCTCTTTGATGTAAGTTTGTGGCTTAGACAAATGATCCCTAAAGCAATTGTTCTTTGCATTTGATAAGTCATTCCCAGATGGCCGTATGTCCCAAATTTTGGATTCATGTTTTTGTATGGTAGGTCTGCTATCTTGTGGTAGTCATCTGTTAGCAATAATTAGATGAACGTGGATCGGCAGTCAGGGCTTTGGTGGACTTGGTATGCCTTGGTGATTTCCCTTTATTATCACTCTGGAGTATACAATCAGATGAAAGGAAGTACAAGAAAGATGTGTGAGACCTTGTGGTTCCCTGTTTGCCCACCTTTCCCTATCTTCGTGAATTATTCTCCTCCTCCGTGTTTGAAGAAGAACGATCAAGCAAGATATTTTTCTATATGTTCCCCTTCTTACTCTTTGTACTTCCAAGATCGACACACAATAATTAAAAGAGTCGCCGTTTATTGATTGCATATGAGCTACTTAATGTGTTACCTCATTTAATCCTCATGATCGTTTGAGGTAGGTGGATACTATTATACCCATTTTACAGATGAGGAAGCTGGAAGTTTAGAGATTGAGCGAGCTCCTTGCTCAAGGTCATTCAGCTGTTAAGTGGCAGAGCCAGAATTTAATCCCAGGGCTATTTGACTTGAGAGTCCACACTCATTAACAACTATACCATCTTGCCTCTCTTTAGACGGTGTTGTCAGCAGAAACATTTCCAAGGACATCGTGCTTGGTTCTTGATAGACAAGATTAAGCTAAAGAAGCAGCTAGCTTTGGGGCGCCTGGGTGGCTCAGTTGGTTAAGCGACTGCCTTCTGCTTGGGTCATGATCGTGGGGTCCTGGGATCAAGCTCTGCATCAGGCTCCCTGCTCAGCGGGGTGTCTGCTTCTCCCTCTGTCTCCCCCCCCCCCCCCCCCCGCTCGTGCACTCTCTCGCTCGCTCTCTCTCTCTCAAATAAATAAAATCTTTAAAAAACAAGAAGCAACTAGCTTCAAGTCACTGGCTGGGATAAAAAGGAAGAATTGCTTCTTACATAAAACCTTGAAGCTTAAATCATCAGAAAGAATACTACTGCATACCTCTTTTGTCAAAGTGTATGTTTTATTTTTAGTTTTCTCATTCATTCCTTCTTTTTCTTCCCTTTCTAGAGACACCCAGATGGTGTGGCTTCTGTGTCCTTCAGGGATCCAGAGGAAGCTGATTATTGTATTCAGACTCTCGATGGAAGGTGGTTTGGTGGCCGTCAAATCACTGCCCAGGCGTGGGATGGAACTACAGATTATCAGGTAAATTCTGCAACTGTCAAGGGCACATAAATTGTATCATTACCAACAAATACCGATCTAGTGGTCCTTCAAGATGAGTTTCGGGTTCAGTTTAACAATGTAACGATACTTCTTCCAAATAATACTTTGCATTCAGAGCCTAGAAAGAAAAATGTTTTAGTCTTTCGGTTTCTCAGCGTGGAATTTTGAGGCGTGCTCAGAAGAGTGATAAGTACGGAGAGAGTTCAGATGTTAACTTTTTCACTGATGAAACATTTCAGCAGGACTGTGGTGTTGGGCATTTATTTAAATGATTTTAAGATCCACTCTAGTGGATCGAGATGTAAAGTTTTGAAAACTGAAGCTAGGGAAATGCTCTGATTTCCTGAGAAGAGATGCCTTATGAGATCAGGTACTTGTGTCAAGGGGTATTAATGTCCTCACTTCACGGAGGAGGCAACACAGCCCAGATAGGGTGAAGTGTTGAGATGGGTCACACAGCCTGTGAGTGAGGGCTAAAGATTGAAACCCAGGTCCATCGGACTCTTTAACTGAGATTGTTACTTCTTTGTGCCTCAGACTTATTTTAATGGCAATGCCCATTTCTCCACAGGTGGAAGAGACCACAAGAGAAAGGGAGGAAAGGCTGAGAGGATGGGAGGCTTTCCTCAATGCTCCCGAGGCCAACAGAGGCCTCCGGCGTTCGAATTCCGTTTGTGCTTTGGAAAGGGCAGGGCCTTCTAGAGTAAGGCATTTTTCAGAGCACCCTAGCACATCTAAAATGAATGCACAAGAAGCCACAAATGAAATGGCATTCGAAGAACCTATCGATGAAAAGAAGTTTGAAAAAACTGAAGATGGGGGAGAATTTGAAGGAGATGCTTCTGAAAAAGATGCCAAAGAGAGTGGCCCCGAGAAAGAGCCTGAAGAAGGCTACCCCCAGAAAGAATCTGAAGAAGGCTGCCTCAAAACAGAGTCTGAGGAAGGCTGCCCCAAAAGAGAGCGTGAAGAAGACTACCCTGAGAGAGAGTCCGGAGAAGGCAGTCCTGAGAAAGAGTTCGAAGAGGGTAGTCCTAAAACAGAGTCTAAAGAGAATGGCCCCGAACGGGAATCCAAAAAGAAGAGGCTCAAAAATGATTATGAAGAGAATGGCCTTGAAAAGGAATCTGACCAAGATGGCCCCAGCAGGGAGTATGAGGAGGACGAGAGCCCCCAAAAGGAGTCTGATGAAGACGACTCGGAAAGGGAATCTGAGGAAGACTGCTCTGAAAAGCAGTTTGACGATGGCTCCGAGAAAGAATTTGAAGAGAACGGCCTCGAGAAGGATTTTGACGAGGACGGCTCCGACAGGGAGTTTGGTGAAAACATTCTCGGGAGGGAGTTTGAAGACAATGACTCTGACAAATCGGAATTTGGAGATAGCAGCTCCGAAAGAGTGTTTGAGGAGGAAGTCTCCGAGAGAGAGTTTGACGAAGAGTCCGATGACAAGGAAGAAGGGGAAGACACATACGAAAAGGTGTTTGATGACGAGTCAGACGACAAAGAGGACGAAGACTACGCAGATGAGAAGGGGCTCGAAGACGCTGATGAGAAGATGTTCGAAGACTCGGATGACAAAGAGGACGAGGAAGAAGGAGTAGAGGTCAAGGAAGATGAAGACGTGGACGAAAAGATGTTCGAAGAGGATGATTCCAACGGGAAGCTGTTCGACGACGAGGATTCCAGTGAGAAGCTGTTTGACGACTCTGACGAGAGAGGGACAGTGAGGGGCATGGGGAATGTGAAAGACGAAGGGCCCCTCTCCACAGGCAGCAGCTTTGTCCTCAGTAGTGATGACGATGTCGAGGACATTTAATCCCTTAAACTTGCTTGGTAGGGAGCTTCCTCCATCCGCATTCTGCCCGTGCTCCAGGGTAATTGCTAGCAGTGTTACATGAACGTGTGCCTAGTGGTAGGATGCCAGCAGAATAATGCATTGAAGTTTTCACTCTTACCTGTACTTAATGATTTGAAATCTGTGTTAATTGGCCGGCCGTTCAGGTAAAACTTCATAGTATAATGCAAGTCAGCTGGGTACTTGTCCTTTGTCAGATTTGTTAAACGCATGCAGAATAATATTTTTTAAAGTATTCTGATTGAAGTTTGTGATAATTCAAAAATAAAAATAAGTTGTTAATATGCCGAAACTGAAAAATTGGACTTGCGTTACATTGCATTTTAAATTCTTGCTGTTGCTTTATTCATACTAAAGTGTGTGGTGTTTGTGAGGACTTGATAAAGCTCGTAGGAGTCTTCTTGCTTCCAGCTTCCCTTAGCACTTACATCCCCATTTCCCCTCCCTAACCCAGAACATGTTACTAAACTTACAAAGTAAATAACACTCTGGAGTTTTTCCCTGCCTAGTCCTTGCGAGCTACGTTCATTTGTTTTCTTTTCCACCCTCTTTCCACGAAAACGGACTCTGAGATGTGCGAAAGTGAACTTTCCGAGGTCCATAGCTTCCCTTATTGGAAATACGGAGGAGATTAGAATTCTCCTGTGTACTGTTTGGGCCCCTTGAGAAGCTGATTGAAGTCATGGGACCTTCCCCCAGAAAAATGTATGCACACACTACACAGCTTTTGTGTATATACACTTTTCAGAGGTTCATGGATCCTCTGGAGTTTAAGATCTACTTGTATCATGCGTACTTCGGAATTTTGTTCTAGATTCATGGTGCCTAGTACTGTGCTGAGTTGTGTAGTCCCAATAAAAATTGGAGTCTTTCTTGATTGTGCTTTCCAAATTAAGTATTGGTGAATTGACTTCTGCTGTAGCATTAAGAAGTGACTCTCGTGAATTAGAAGCATTAAAATAAACTGCATTGGTGCTTTTTCATTATACCGTCTGTAAGTGTAATCATTACCCTCTTCAGACAAAAAAAAAAAAAAAAAAGAGTTCTTGTATTTCAAGCCAAAGCTGAGAATTTAGTGGTTGATGTCTGGGATTTCTTAAAATCTCGGGATTTTCACCAGAGACAAATCCATAAAAGAGCTACAGAAGGGTAAATATAGGAAAGTCGCAGACCAAACTCAGGTTCCCTTTAAAGGTAAGCCAGAAGCATTTAAACATTCCATTGATTGGAGGATTGGTTTCCTGAGGGACAGGCTGCTGCTTTTCTTCCATACGCAATGCTTGGAACACATAACTACAACACAGACAAGCTCCAAGACCGTTAGAAGGGGGCTGTTTTCTTTCTGACTTTTCTCCCCTGCTCATTACTTCGGCTGATATGAAATACTCATGCTCTTTTTATATAAACACCTGGAAGCGAAGGTCACAAATAACTGTCAAATGGTAAATGATTTGGGAGGTGATATTAGCAAACAGACATCAAGAGTCATGAAGCACGCACACACACACAGTCACCCGTTTACTAAGTAGTTGGGTCTTACTGGTCCCAACGATGGAGTTTATTGTGAGGCAACAATATGTCCTGGTAGCAAAAGAAAAGAACAATACAGGGGTGGGTTTTAAGCACAGTGATCCTCAACAATTACCTGACAAAGTCTAAGCTTGATGTTCCTTAAAACTATGTTGCTTACATAAATATCAAATAATGTATTCCACCCCAAAGGCATGAACCAGAGGGGATGCCTTCACATGGCCTGAGTGGCCTGCTCTCTTGAGTCCACAAGTACCTTGCATAGGAGTAAACTCGAAACTCCATGTTAGGAGAGAGAGATCATACTGGCCTTGCAATATTCACGAGATATTTGAAGTTACTCCTGCTTTCTACAAAAGCAACTGGACAGGGCAAATTTGGAGTAATTTGTTGCGAAGGTCTCTCTTTTCCTCCTCCATTTGTGATAACCCTGGGCTCTTTCTGAAGCCCTGAGTGGCCAATTCCAGTCCATTTGGAAGCTGCTGCCTCTTCCTTTTAAGAGCAGAATCTATTTTTCTGGTATAAATTATTTGGGTGTTCTGAGGCTTGGAGAAATGGTAGGAGTTAGCTGATTTTCTGAATACGCCTTTCTCAAATAATGTGAATCTTTAAACCAAACATTTCAGTGTAATGCCAAGAAGTGCTCTTAATTCGTTTGAACAAAGCCAGGGCTTGGAGAATAGGAAGAGGCGTTTAAATGCGCCCCTTGTGGGGCACCTGGGCGGCTCAGTTGTCAAGCGTCTGCCTTCAGCTCAGGTCATGATCCCGGGGTCCTGGGATCGAGCCCCGCATGGGGCTCCCTGCTCGACGGGAAGCCTGCTTCTCCCTCTCCCACTCCCCCTGCTTGTGTTCCCTCTCTCACTGTGTCTCTGTCAAATTAATAAATAAAATCTTTAAAAAAAATTAAAAATGTGCCCCTTGTATTTGCCAGTATTCTTAGAGATTATTTTTTCCTTATGGAATCTCACATATAAAACTGCATGCCGTTTTGGTGGTGTTTTGTGTGTGTGTGTGTGTGTGTGTGTGTGTGTTTTAAGACAGTCACTTCATTTAATACCAGACCGCTCAGATGATTTTTGCCTCTTACCACACCTCATTTACATGACTGGCTTGTTCATCCCTAAGTAAAATACTAGCCTGGTGTAAGAAAACAAAGTTACAATTAGCCCTTTATAAAATCACAAATCGGGAACTGCAAACAGCCTAAAATCCTGGACACCAGTTATCACAGGGATCAATTGCTTGAGAGAAATACCTCGTGGTTTAAAGTTTGTCCCACAGATTTGTCTTACTTGTCATGTGGAACCGAGAGGATTCCGATGTCGTGGGATGTCCGGAGCTTTACACGCGCAGAGAGAGCTAGAACAGGGCAGCTTGTGTTTGGAGCCCAGGTCCCCGCAGAACGGCCAGACTGCGGCGGTAAGGGGCGCCGGGCTGGGTAAGGAGAGCGAGGCCAGCGGCAGCACGAAGGTGGCTTTGCCGCACCAGCGTTTCTACCACTTCCTAATGCTTCTGCTGAGATAGCAATGGCGAGGTGAGAGGAGCAAGGCTCTAAGCAGACAGCATTTCTGCACACCTGTCAGAAAGGCGAGAAACAACAGGTGTTGGCGAGGCTGTGGAGAAAAGGAACCCTTCTGCCCTGTGGGTGGGAAGGCAAGCTCCACCATGGACAACAGTATGGAGGCTCCTCACAAAAGTGAAAAATAGGGCTACCTTGTGACCCAACAATCACACTCCTGGGTATTGACCCAAAGAATACAAGAACACTCATTCAAAGGGCTCCGTGCACCCCTATGTTTCTGGCAGCATTATCTACAATGGCCAAGATATGGAAGCAGCCCAAGTGGCCATCGATTGATGAAGGGATAAAGAAGAGGTGGTATGTATATATATATATAGCATATATATACAATGGGATATTCTTCAGCCATAAAAAAGAATGAATCTTGCCATTTGCAATGACATGGATGGAGCTGGAGAGTGTAATGCTAATCAAAATTAGACAAAGACAAATACCGTATGATGCCACTCATGTTGGAGAAACAAAAAAATGAGCAAAAAAAAGACAAAGCAAGAAACAGACTCTTAACTATAGAGAACCGATGGTTACCAGAGGGGAGGTGGGTGTGTAGGGGGGATTAAGGAGCACACTTACCGTGATGAGCACCGGGTGATGTATGGAAGTGTTGAATCACTATATTGTACGCCTGAAACTCATATAACACTGCATGCTAACTATACTGGAATGAAAAAAGAAAAATAAAACCTGGGGATGCCTGACTGGCTCAGTTGCGGGGGGAGGCATGTGACTCGATCTGGGGGGTCATGAGTTCGAGCCCCACACTGGGTGTAAAGGTTACTAAAAAAATTTTTTTTAATCTGCTGAAAAATAAAGCATTTTTTGATCTGCCATTTCCAACTTTTTCATAGAAAACAGACACATGAAAAAATGTTCATCATCATTAGCCATCAGGGACATTCAAACCAAAACCACACTGAGATACCACCTTATACAAGTTAGAACGGCAAAAATTAACAAGGCAAGAAACAACAAATGTTGGAGAGGTTGTGGAGAAAGGG